ATAAAAATTATAGGTACACTAAAAATGATCGACTGAAGTGATAATCTACAAATCATAATTTGCTAATAAAGTAAATACCGTTAAATCAGGCTCACATATTATATTATAGCTTATAATATAGCTACGTCGTCCGTCGTGTCATGTTCTTTGTATCTTGTATCGTATTCTGATTGGTCGTATTACTCATATTGTAAACATGGTATCATCGTATTCACTATAGTCTATAAGTCTATGACCATAAACTACTGCGATCGAGTCAATATCAAGTCTCAACTTTTGGACACAACACATTAACAGACAGTTATTACAAAATATGTAGGTACCTACTCTTAGCTGCTGTGAATCCGACTTCATACGCGATACACAATATTATACAATTATGTCAATCGATTAAATTGATACCTCAGCGCAGGTTAAGTAATTACCGTGGTCACATATAAGTAATCGGTAAACTCTGCGGGTTTAAAACACCTCTACGGAATTAAACCGGTGGAGAACGATTCCGCGAAATTTGCGGAATAGTGTTGATTATTTAATAGCCACTGATATACATACACGACTCCGCAAATTTTATATGTATATATACGATTCTGCATAATTTTAGATGCAACGTTGCCATTCCGAAAACAAAATATACGTATATGATTGTAAGGGCCGAGCCACGCTTAAGTGATTTTGGCGTGCGGTAATAGCATACGACGGTGGCGACTATAACACGATTCCGCAAATTTTATATAGGTACCTACAACAAATATTAATAATATATAATTATTTGTTTTTTATATTATATTAGGCATATAATATTTGGCTAATATGTTAATGTCATTAGGTATAATTCTTCCAGTCTAGGTGTTATATTTTATTGTAGTATTAAATATTAATGATATCAAACAAATTTGTGATTTGATTTAATCTTATAATATTATCAATTTTTACACTATATATTATGTGTTATTATGATCATTGTAATTATTATTCATATTATTCCTATAATGTATTCTACACGTAACATTATTTTTTTTACTCGTGCCAATAGTGTTGCTAATGGGTGACTTCTTACCCCCGTATTATATCCTGCTTATTTATTCTCTTTAAATACGCTTATTGTGTTTTTAGTATTAGTATAGATTGTGTAATTTTTTATAAAAATAAAAAAAAAACATTATTTTTATACTGAACAGATGAATTTATAATTCATGTGGTACCTATACAAAATTATATATATTAATTATTAATACATCATTTTTTGAAAATAAAGTTTCTTCTCCATAGATAAATAAATAAAAATTCCAATTATAAATAGTAGATATTACTTATGATGCTGCTCTTTTTATGAAAAATCTAGTCGTCCTTTATAATATTGTTCACAAAATGAAAATAAATAATTGTTTTTTTGCCAAAACAAAAAGAATTATGCTAGTCATTTCATTTTTAATTATAAAGGTAGGTACCTAAAATTATATATTATTTCGTTTGATATCTATATTATGTGACTATATATATTAATTATATTAGGTATACATTTATTATAAAAAATTAATTATATAGGTAGGTACTTATACATTAATTTTACTTATCTTATGCTTCGTTTAATACGTAGTTTTCATATATCGTATTTAAATATAATCGAACGGTAACAATAAGTTCTAACAAGTTATAAGTTTTTGAATATACCAACTACAAATTACAATATCCAAAAAAATATACCTACTTCAGTTGTGTAGCTAAAATAATAATAATTTTTACATTATTTTAGCATAAATTATAAATAATTATAATTTATAACTTATAAGACATATAAGGGAAACTAATCATACGGTAAAAATAAACTAAGAGTGGTTACGCTTATTTTTGTATAATAATATTTTTAATTTGTGACGTTTGTATAAATTATATTATTTTATTAGCTTATTACTTTTTAGAAAATATTATGTATCTAGTATGAAATAAACAGCTCTTAAAAAAATAAATATTTTATACCTATTATTTATATAAATAAATGACTTGGAACAGATACAGAAAATCTGGAATAAAAATAATTTATTATTATAAAACGATATTTATATAAAAAAAAAAACTAGTAACATTTTAATTGCAATCTATCAAATTAATTGGGAAAAAATATAATAGGTACCATATTGAATAAATATATTATTATATTAGTATCTTCTCTTTAAATATTTACTTAATTTATAAAATAATAGTTTTATACTCATAAATAAAACATTTAGACTTTTATAATTAATTTTATTTCTAAATATATTTATTAATTTGTATTAACATAAATTACATATTCCAAAAAATGTTTAGCTTCAGAATATGAAATTAAAAATGATTATTGTGAATAAATTTAATAACTTATTAATGGGTTTTGCTTTTTTGTATGTCAATAATCAATTAATGTGTACCAATAATAATTGTAATTTATCATATTATGCCAATTGTATATGAACGTAATACATTTTAGGCATCTTATCACAATATCCCATGTAAAAATTATAAGTATATATAATTTATAAAATATATGATGTCTGTCAGTGTATCTAGTGGTTTACGCGTTTACGACTTAACTGTTAGGTTAATTTGTATTGATTTGGTCAAATTGTTGTGATTTTTATTTCGTAGTAAAATTAAAACTTAACTGCCATTATGCCAAAATGCAAGAAAAATCCAATACTATATAGATATATTTCGAAAAAAACAAAAGCGACCGATTCAAGAAAAGGTTGATGACCCACCAGTTTTATCTCCACCCACAACATTAATCGAAGGTCAAAGTATTCATAAAATATTAAAAACTTATTCTTACCAAAAAAATTGAGAAAAATTGTTTACAATTGGTTAAATTTTAATACTGAAAAAGGCAGGGTTTTTTTGTAAAATACCATGTAAAAATTTTCTTAGTAATAATCAAAGTGTTTTACAGAAATTGGCAATTGCAAGGTATTTTTATATATTTTACTCTATTTACAAATTTTCGAAAAGCTAATGGTAAAACTAGTTGATTTTTAAACACACTTGTTCAGAAAATCATTCAAAGTCTGTAGTTTTGAACGAATTTTTTAAAAAAGATAAATAAGAAATCAAATGGGACAAGAAACATTACAATCTTGCATGAAAATTAATACAGGACCATCAGAATTCAATGAATATACTATATAATATGAAGTAGGTAATCGATTTTTCGCATATCAAAAGCAACGTTGGATTCGTTTAATTAAATATATAAAAATAAATATAAATATAATTTATAAAATAAATATGTATGACTTCTGCTCAAAGAGGAGTATTAGTATAATATTATTAAATGTCTATTATATTTATTTTTTAGAATTACATCAAGAATTTTTAAAAACTTATGTATTTGTAGGCATTAATCTAATACCAATAAATTGAGATTTAATCAATATTTTTACTTCCCTTCATTATTTACTCCAATGACATACCCCAGAAAATGTACTGTAGCGTGGCTGGGGAACCTAGTTACTATATTATAGTTATCCAGGGAAGGTTTTCTGGTCCTTATGGATAAATTTTCCGTAGCTAGGGGGTTAGAACACTGTATGTGGGATCTTATCAATAAATAAAACACGTTTGGTTTATAAATCTCTGTTCAAAATCTATTTTTGGTTTGTACTTAACAAATGTAAATGGTGGTAAACAATCCCGGTGTTGGTGAGTTTATGTTTGTTGGTGAGTTCGTGTTTATTGCTGGTCAGTCTCAAACTGCCCTTTCGATAAATGGTGCGTATTGGCCACAGGCCTCACAATCATTAACAATGTTTATCTCAGCATAAATATCCCACTATTGCCTACTACGGAATTGACACATACACAGGTCTCATGTAACAATAATATATATTATTGTTACAGTACAATACCCCCTCCCCTGGAATAGGTCTGAAATAAACACTGAGCTTGGAACTTCAAAGGTCCGGATCTCTCTTGATTTATTTTTTAACTACATAGCCTTGACAAAATCATGTATATAATTATATTAAACCAAATTTAGTATAACACATTGCACATATATTAATTTAAATGATTATTATAAGATTAAATATAAATAAATTATAAGCTTTCAATGTGTCCTTTTTAAAAATTAAAAAAATAATAACAATTTTTTGGCATTAAAGATTTTGTTATCAGGTTAGAGTATTCGACTGCTTTGAAGTAACAATGAGACACTACAGAAAAGCTTTTTCAGACAAACCAGTAACTATTGCTGAAGCTGTCTTACCATGAGAAAATATAAAATTATATATAGGTAATAAAGTACGATATTATTTTAATATCTATTTTATTCACATAATGCACATTAGAAATATTTTTTAAAATGTTAATAGTTTTTGAAATAATGACTGTATTATTATGCAGTAAGTATTAAAAAATCAAATCAAATATGCTTTGAAGTGGTATAAAAAAAAATAGTACCTACTTCCATTACTATATAATATGTAATTTAAAAATGTATCGTATATCATATATGTAACAGTATTTGTGATCAATAATAAGTATATGTGAGTGAAAATACATGCCCATTGAGTTATAGGTATCATAACCACCACTAATTATTTACCTTTTGTTGTATACCCATCTTTCAGTGATGTATCTGGTAAAACATACTGTATTATGTATTCACTACATAAAATAACATATAATAATGTAATACACAATAAACCATCATTAAATAACAGCCTAAATCACTTTACATTTATTTATTTCCATCATTATGAAGTCCTATCTGTTCTAAGCGGAAATATGTATCCTTCATATAAATAAATAATAATTAATATTGAATCTAAAATGATATATTTGTATTAAAAATACTTTAAAAATTGTGTTGAAGTATTAACATTGCATAATTAATGTGTATTATTTAATATGTGTCTATAATGCAGAACATTACATTTTATATTCTAAAAAGAAAATTATAATAAAAGATTAAAATCTGTACTAGTTAAAATGTTAACGTTTATTAATAAACTTAATTAATACAAAAATTAATAAATTAAAATTAGGCGAATCTTTTATTTTTTTCACTTAAAATTTAATTTGAGTAGTTTGAGTGTTACATTAGGCAATATAATTTACAATACACCCACCCGAAAGTAGTGATATGTAAAATAAGAAGCAAATTAAAATATTATAGTAAAATTAAACATCATTGACAATTACTGAGCCACCATGATCAGCTTTTTTATCAACATTTTGATTTTCAACCTCTTCTGACATCGGGGTAACTCCACCTCTAACTTGTATATTATGTTTATTTTTGAAATCATTGATTTCAATTCCTTTTTTAGTTAATTGTTCATTCAACGTTTTCACAATTTTACCCATCTAAAACAAATTAAATCAATGTTATTATACATATTAATAATTATAATGAGATTTAGTAAATAATTAATTGATTACTATCCATTTCCGTTTATTACTTTTTATTTAAATTTAATGATAATTAATAAGAAATTTATAAAAATGTAATAAAAATATGTATAATAGTTTAAAAATAATTATCACCTTCTACTAAATTTATAATATAATTATAACATAAATCAGTTTAAATTAAAAATAATAGCATATAATTGAGTTAAAAAGCAAGAGTTACTAAATAACAAAATTTAAACTTTTTACACTAAGAGATTTATATTTTGGGTTTATGATTCATCAAATAAACTCATATTCAAAAATAAAAATTTCTTAAGATACAGGGAAATTACTCCTCTAAAAAAAATGTTATTTATTAGTTACTATTGTAGGTCTATGTTCATACAGATTAATTTTTTTTAATTTATAATAAAAAATATTAATAACAACTGAAAATAAATAACTTTATGAATATTTATAAAACTAACTTCTCCCCTATTTTTAATTAGTGTAGGTAAAACATCACAAATCTTCCTTTCAACTAATACTCCGCCTATCAATCTGAAACATTTTCTTTCATCGTCCAACTTGTTTAACGTGTCGATAACAATACTAAAACCAAATTAAGAGATATTAACATTTATAACAACGCATATTAGAAAAAAAAGTATAATAAATGGACAAACCTATGCTCATTGAGATCAAGCTCGATTTCTGATAATTTTGTAGCGAGTTGTCTTTGCTCCGTTCGTAAAGCATTAAAAGTATTATGAATCAATTCCTCTTCTGTAGGTTTTTTAACTTTAACAAGTTTTTCCATTTTAAAAAGTTAATGTATAACACTATTAATTTTCTTGTTATAACATAAACATAAAAGAATGGTTCAAAGTTTCTTCAACTATACTCAAATAGTCAATTATAATAAAAAAAAGTAAAAACTACAGATACAGAACAGAGTAGGTACAACATACTACACTTAACCAAAACTTTATCAACTATTTATAGGTTATACAGCTACCATATTTTTACCGTATAATACCAATTGATATTATAAGCACATCATTACCGATTGATAACAACAAAATATAATATCGTTTATAAATTATAATAGATGATGATGATATTGATAACAATTCCATTTCGATTTTAAATATATTTTAATTTTAAAACGTGCTATAAATCATGTCTGATAGCCAAAATATTCAAATATTTAACAGAAATTCCGTAAGTCAATTGAATATTTTCAAACGTAAATTCTATATTATATAATGGTTGTAATTTATATTTATGTAACTAATAGGTCGACGATGTTGATGATTCAGATCTCATCAATAGTTATGAAAAACAATATGAAAAAGTGAAAAAGAAGGCTAAGGCGAAACTACCCCCCATTGATTCAATGTCTGAGCTGAGTTTAAATGACAAAGTAATTAATTTTATTTGAATATATTATTAAAATATGTATTATACCCTTTTCCAAGTCTGTTAATTCATGAAATTTGTAGGTGACTAGTTACTTAATATTTTATATAATAACACATTATATATATTGTCTCCTTATCGCAGACCTATAAGATATTTTATGTTCAGTATAAACCATCTTACTCTGTTATTTTTAATATTCGAGAGAATTTACTTCCTCAAGTTATGAACAAATTATCAAATTTAAAATTAAAACCTCAATCATGTTTTTTTTGTGTTTAATTTAAAAACCTGTTTTGGACATTAGAAATTAAAAATTAAAATACCAAAATATATACTTGAGGATCTTTATTATATTTTTATCTTTAAATTTGATAATAAATTAATTCTCTTTACTCTTTATCATTAAAAATAACAAGTTAAATAGTTTATTCTATTATTCTACATGTAAAATTTACTACTTTATCCATTACCAAAATAAAGATAGCCTATGAGGGATAATATTCTCTTTTACCATCATACATAATATATATTTATATAAAAGTACTAAAAATTTTCAAACTCTAAAATTCAAATACATGTATTTTATTGACAGTTATAATAACTTACTAAACTTGTGTTCTTTTATTATAAAAATATATTAATCTAAATAAAATTTTATATATTTCATAGTTTGCTGAAGATCAAATTTAAATCAATTTTATTCCAATAAGTACATTTTTCAATTTTTTTTTTTTTAGTTAAGTTGTTTTAAAACTATTTATTTTTTCTTTTTGATGATATAATATATATAAATATATATATATATACAACAATTTTTGAAAAAATATACAGCTTAAGTATTTAACTTGATTATATAAACAAACACAATGTTAAATTATATTTTATCATTTAATAACTTAATGTTTTGTTGCTTAATTTAGGAAAGCAGTGAGTGTAATGTAAAGAACAAACCAAAAAAAAAAGTAAGTCAAATATTATAAAATAAGTTTTTTACAATATAAATATATATTCAAATGGTTTAACAGACATAATATATAATATAGTAAACAACAATATTAAATACAAAAATATTCATAGTTAATAAAATTAAATTAAAATTAATATAATAAAGTAAATTTAAGATTCAATTAGATAGTGGTATTTTTTATTGTTTAAATGTTGGTAATTGTTTAATTATATTATGAAAATAAGAACTATGATTGTTAATAATAATTTTTGCGTTCAGTATTTTGAGTTTGTGACCGATAGTGCATTTAAGTTATGAAGGTCTTGTCAACCCATTTTGAATAAGTATATACTGCACTCCACAATGTTATAAGACACTATCAACTATCAGCTTTACAGTCACACTTTTCCAAATTATTATTTCCATTTCTTAAAGCATACGGCATCTACTTTGATTTGTGCAAAATTTATTCTCAATATACTATTCTATAGGTAATTGTCTAGAACAGATAAATCTAGGTAATTGGACAAGATTTTTCTTTATTATGTTTTAGTTATCCTATATTGATTTTCAATTTTCTTATTAAGTTTTTCCCTCTTGGTAAATCATCAAATCTAATCCAAATAAGAGTTTGGGGTTTCAAATCAGTTTTTTTTTACTTTGTGTATGCACTATATGGTATATATGTATGCACTGAATTATACAGTTCTTCAGCTTAATAGTTAATAGATTAATGCAAGTACTAGTTTCCTTAATGCTCTTGCATCAGCTTTCTAACTGATTATTGCTAGAGTTGTTAATAAGTTATTTCTTGTTTTAAGTTTTTGAGTTAATCTTTTTTAGTAAGTTTTATAACTTAGGGTCCAATCTACGGTGTTATGAACACTATCGATTAAACATAATATCCATTATATTTTTAGGTTGTCTATTATTTAAGTAAAATATGTATTATGAATGAGGAATGAACTATTAGGCTTTCTATTAACCTAATTTATTCATATTTTCCTTAATTATAATAACTGTTCAACAAAGGTACAAGCCCATAAGGCAAAATTAATTAGTTTAAGATTGATTGATCATTATGTTATTGAATGTTATTTCAACCTTTCTAAGCTAATGTTAACAAGAATTATCAAGCTGGATCAACAAATGGATACAAGGTATAATATATTTAATTTATAAATATAAAATTAATTATTAGTATTTACTAATAAGTGACTTAAATGTTTTTATTTCTTTTAAGGAAGCAGAAGTTCTTTTTCCACCACCTCCACCACCACCAGACAGTATAAAAAATTTACCTAAAACTGAAAGGGAGGCTCTAACATCAATGCTTATGTCATATTATATGAGTGGATTTCATACTGGTTTGTTAATTTATTATTATTTCTTTGTTTTTCACTTTTTTATAGTTAATAATAGAAATGATAAATTATTATTTATAAATTATAATATTATTTTACAAAAACAAGGTAAATTTTTAAGTAATTCATTTAAATAAACAGTATACACTGTACACTTATTACTGAAAAATTTTAATTTTTTTATTTACTGCTACTATGTTTAAGTTTTTATTTTCATATTTCAAAGCAATATAATTTTTTCATTTTTGTAGTACTTTTATCACAAAAATTAAATTTTGGATGGATACTGTATTAGTTATAACTTTATAAGTATTAAAAGTTTTTATGTATACCCCTCCTCCTCACAAAATATTGATCTACCATTTTTCTCATATTAATTTTAACATGTTGACTGCCATTCGACCGTTGGCAACCACAAAAATATTAATCATAGGTATGCCAAGGTTAGGTTTCAGTATCATTATAAATTTATATTTATACTATAGAATTTGAAAAAAAATTAAAAATACAAAAAAAAATGTTAAAATTATGTTTATTACATCAAAAAATTGAAATTATTCCCGCTATGCCACAGCACATTTTCTAGATCGTTATTGTAGCGACATGGAAAAGTTAATTTTACAAACCTAAATTAATTTATGGCAGCCTACGGCCGTATGGCCTCTTACAAATAATATAATAATATGATGTGGCAGCCGGCGGTCTAAAAATTATCAATATCTAATTATTTTTATATGGCAATCTACGTGTTATAATATTTAAGGTTTATAAATTATAACTAATTAGGTAACTACTTATTCAAATTACTTAAAAAAATATTTTACTTTGTAATATAAATACTAAAAATTAGGCTAATGGATATCGCTTGGTTGTGTAGTAGTAAGTTTTGGATATGCCTTGTCATCAAATACTGTATAGATGTATTAAGTTTGAATTTATTAATAAATGATAGTACAGTAAAATATCTAAATACTTAAAATTCTTGAACATTGACTTTTTTTTGCTATTTAGAGAGGAGAAGTTAAATAAATTAATAATCAATTTAAAAATATATTGAAAAAATTATACACCATGCACATATGTATATTTATATTATTTTTATGTATAAATATACTTATATGTATTATTATTTAAAAGAAAATCAATTACCAAATAAGATAGCCATTTCGTACAACGGATACAATAAATGATAATAGTAAATAGCATAATAATCTGTAAAATACATATTACAATAAAAGTTACTAAGATAATAATTATACTAAAAATTATCAAGATCTAGCTATAAAAGTGTCAGTTTTTTTTAGCGTCTCTTGTTTAAAAAATTTTCAATAAATAAGTAATGAACATTTTTCTGTTCCGTCAAAAAAATCTCTGCTATTTAGAGGTGTCTATTAAGAAAAGTTTCACTGTATATGAAAAACAATTCTTGGCAGAATCATTTTATCAGCTTAAATCACTTATGCTAGATTGCATGATAAATTGTTAAATTTAATGAATCAATTACAGGCTATTAAATCATGTTTCAACATGTTTCGATTAAACATTAAATTTATTATGTTATTAATTATAATATTAATAAATATTTATATTATCATTGTTCAACTTTTTAGTCAATACCAACTTATCATAAAACAATGTGAATGTTCATGGTAAAAAAAAGCAATAACTTAAAATTAACCTAAATATTTTATAAATGTCATTGTGTATTTATGAAATAAGTATTGATATAAAATATAAAATAATAGTTGTAATAATTTCAACCTCCTATTAATAATATTTTTTTAATCATAACAAAATAATTAAATTTGTTATTCTTTGTTAAAATATCACCCAGAATTGATATTTCAAATGCCTATAAAAAGAATTGCATTTTTATGTATTTTAGATTTTTATTTAATTATAAAAACAACATAATATGTGAAATATTGATTTTAGTTTTTACACATTTTAATCGAGCTTGACCAAAAAATTATTTACTTTTGATAAGAAAAAAAAAACCATTGAAAATCAATACATCCATCAGAATCAAAAATTTAAGTTATTCTAAAACATTAAAACTTAGTATTATAATGATAAAAACATGTTTTCAACAGAAAAATCAAAACTTCTTGAAATAATGAGTGTAGACATTCAATGAACTAACATGTAGGTATGTACGAGATATATTTTACTTTAAAAATATGTAAAGGTAATCTAAAAATAAATTTATTCTATTCTACATTTTATTTTTATTTTGTTAAACAATTTTCTAAGTATACTTAAACTTAAAAAAAAACATTTCTAGAAACCATTTTTCAATTTGTTTCGCATGTACTATAAAGCATTTTAATTGTATTCATGAGTATTGATTTTCTAATTAAAATTGCTAGGTAAATAAAATTAAAAATACTTAATATTTATATTATATTCAAATATTTATCATATATTTAACTTAAATATTGACCTCTTATAATATTTTTTATAGTAATAAAATTATTATTTATTTATGTTAATTATTGAAATATATTTCAGGATATTATCTTGGAATGAAACAAAATAATTCTGAAAAATGATGTTATACGGATTAATCATTTATAAATTCCTAATAACTTAATGGGTATGTAAAACTTTAAATAATGTTTTGCTTGCATAAAATGTTACATATTATTTTATACCTATTATATCAATGTATAGTACCTATTGTACAATTTAAAATAATGCAAGTAAATAATTTTGTCTTATTATATTTAATCTATTCGATTTATATTTCTTAAACTGTATTTATGAATTAAACTTTTATGATTTAGATATTACTATTATTTTATTATGGTTAAATTATCCGGCATCCTGTTACCCTATGTTATTGACCAGAACCAACTTTTACATCATGTGCTGCTTTCCTGAATCTACCTATAAAACTAGACTAAATTAACATTTTGAATAAGCTAGGTATAGAAAGTACAAAAAGAAAATAAATTTTAGTTGAGTAAACCTTTATAAAGTTAGTGACTATATAAGTAACAATTGGATACCAACTGGAATGGCGTTATTAACCACCAGTTCACTCAGCCAACTGATTCTTCTAACACCAGAACCAGACACGAGGAGGAGGAGAAGAAGCATAGTATAAAATATAGAGTATTACAAAAATGTACCTACTCAACACCTGTGAGAAGTGGAATGGGGGGGGGGGAATTCAGATCGGGAAATTTAAATTTATCCAGACCATTCACTATTTACTAATTAAATTACTAAGACATTATTTTTTCTTATTTTCAACATTCTTAAATTACAATTTACTACCAAACTAGTACATTTGAAAAAGTTTTGATTTGATACTCAAAATATTTAGAACAATATCACCAATAATAAAGAATTTAGGTTTATCAGTACATTCCTTGAAAATGTGATAAATTAAAACCCCAAATCCATCAATATTTGTAAAATCGTCTTAAAATGTTTGAGAATTAAATCAATCTCGCCTAAAAATGAAATAACTACTCAAAAAAACTTAATATCTTGATTTCAGAATAAAAAATTTGTCAAACAAATATTTTCCATTAAATGTTTTTTTGGAAAATTAATTTTCTAAAGAACAGAATTTACCACCAAATTAATATCTTTTGATAAAAATATTTAACGAGCTGACAATCCTGCTACTCCAACATTCTTACAATTATACAGAATATCATCTGTATATTCATTAGTAAAGACTCCCCAAACACTGGAAACTATTCTATATCATCTGGTAAACTGTTTTAAATTTATTAGTTTAAACTTGAGTATATCAAAATTAAAAAATATGGTATGGTTGTTTAAAATTGTATTATCAAATTATTTAATTATCTGATTTGAAAGAAATAGAAAACAGTTAATTATCCAGACAATTTGCTAGGAAAAATGAAGAAAATTAGTTTTGAAAGAAAAAATTGATAATATTCTAGAAGATATTTTGATAATAGGTATTACTCTAAATTTTAATATTAAATCTAACAACATGAAATACATTTTGCTCAATGCGAATTTGCTATATTATGTTGTATGTAGGTATGTAAAATAGAAACAACACTTATAACACATATGGGTGTAGCGTCCAAGGTTAAAAGCCATTTTTTTTGTTTAAAAGACATAACACTAAAAACAAGTTTGCTTAAATTAAAAGGATGTCTTTATCTAAGAAATATGGCGAGAGTCTCATACTTAAACACCATTTATTTAATGAGATATAGGAGTTTGAAAATATGCATGTGACGTCATAGAGCCAAAGTCGGAATAGCGGTGTATGTTTTACGTGCAAGTGTCTTGAAATCGTTGTGTTGATTAACACAACGATTTCAATTGTTAAATAAAATATTTTAAAATATTTTTTATGCAACCCTAAGTGTTTTTTTTTTTGTATTTATGACACTGGTGTGATTATAATTTTAATATACTTTCTAGTTTTTTATATAGTAGATAAAATTATTATAGTCAATTATTTGATTATTATACGAGTATTATAGTGAATATACGACACGAATCTCGAACTCAATAATTTTACTAAATTATAATTTAGAATATGTTTGCAACAAGATATATTCAATTTTAAATCACACCATTGTCTTGTGTACATAAATATATTAAGGATTATGAAAAAAAAAATTTTGAAATACTGTTTTAAGTTATTATAATCATTGTGTAAATCAAACTACTTTTATACATAAAACATAGGCGTCGGCTCTATTCATTATCTCATTAAATAATCATTTTTTTAACTTCAGATTTTTACCAAAACTTTTTTATCATGTTGAATGTTAACTACAATATTACACCAATAAAATAAAATTGAAAAAAAAATTTAGTGTTGTGATGTCCTTTAATGTTTTATCAGTTTTTTTTTTTTAATTAACATAAGACATTATCTATAAGAAAAGAACAAATAATTTGATGTTAACAACCTCAAATAACAATATGAATTATAATTATAGCTTATTATATTTTATTTCTTTTATATTAATCATACCTACATTGCTATAATAAATATATGGGATTGTATTGAAAAAAATTTTTTTATTATTTTCTAATTTACTTGTTTTAATTCATATACATTTTCTCTCCTACTGACTATCTACTTACTTATATTATTTTTAACCTATATAATATAATATAAGGTTTATAATGATTTGAAATACTACTATATAGTATATAGTGCAGACAAAGAATTGAAAGAGTTGACGTAATTTTTTATCCTTTTCAAATTTGTTTCATGATAATATTATAACTATTATTTATAATTCGAAGTACAGACTAATATATACAGCAAATACTATAGTACCTAAGTTTGTTTACCTACTTGTTTAGCTATTGTTATTTTGTTAGCATATAAATACCTAAGAATTATAGTAAACATTATATACTTTTTACAATTCAGAGTTCTGGTTGTATGGGTCGACTTGTATTTAACATTTTACACTATAAATAGAAGAACTTAACCCACGCTAATTTGTAGTTATTTATACTTGTAACAATGTATTTAAGAGAGAATCCATTGATTTTATACAGTTGTGAAATCAGTTTATTTATAATTTATTTATAAATTATTTTAAATTGTAGATCGTACATAGAACAGATTACAGTTCATAATTTTAAATTATATCAGTTATCAAAATTTATCATAAGATAAGATACTGATAAAAATCCTCGAATCCACGGATGGATCTTTTAGTGATAAGCACATTTTGTTCAAATGAGATAAAAATTTATGATAAAACAACATTATATGTTAATATAAAACGCTGTAAACGCTGTGTATAATATTAATAATAATTTATAATATTATTTGTGGATAAAAAGTTCTATAACCTCAAGTAGACAGTTTACTTTTAACTTCTACTTTAAATTAATTTACCTCCATTCGAAAAACGGACTAAACAAAATTATTTTCCAAGTGTGATAATTCGTGGTTTTTAAGAAGTTTAAACCATACACATAAAATAAAGATAACAATTTGAAGTTTTTAAAAAAGTGTTAACAACATTTATTTTGTGTTTTTTAAAATTTCTAATAATCATGTCATTTTATTCCAGAAGAATTTTTCAACGAGTAAAATATCTATTTTATATTATTTACTTTTTTTTTTTCATCTTATTTTGTTATTTTCCATATAGTTATATACATTTTGAATAATACTATCTGATTTCCAATTAATTAAATATACCTAATTGTAATTATTTTCTTTATAGTTCCAAATTAATCAAATTTCAAAATTCAAATTTAGTAATGTGTCAGGAGGACCAAATAAACACGTTGAATTTCCCAAACGTAATAAAACAATATTTGGAAAAGATAGTCCAATTACATGGAAAACTGTAGGAATTACTGGTGTTTTAGGAGTGGGTATGGTCTCATACTTGTTTTATCTTAAAGAAGAACAAGAAGAAAGTAAGTGTTAATAATTTTTAATTAGCATACCTAATTAAGTAATTTCTGTTTTGGTTATAATTATGTATTATTTAATTATTATTTGATTTATAAAAGTTGGGAAACATTTGCTTATTTCAAAAACATTTTAAAACCTTGTATAAATATAAATGTAAAGTTAATATAACATTAATTAAAATATTCTTGTTTGTAGTTAGTTATATATTTTTTTTTTCTTGTAGTCTTTCTAATATTAATATAAGGTAATTTCATGCCTTTATTAATTATTATTTAATTTTTTACTATTTAGCTATTTGTATTTTTACTAAATAAAATAAAAATATATAAAATTATATTATTTATTTGTGAATTATTTAATGATAAAATTAACGTTTTATCTTGATTTAATATTATATTAGCTATTTATAATTCAGTAAAAAGCTTAAAAAAATGTTAATATTTTCAGAACAAAGACGAGAAAGAAAACGTCAATTGGGAAAAGCACAAATTGGAGGTCCATTTGAGTTACTTGATGGATCTAACAATATTGTAAAAAGTGAACAATTTTTGGGGAAATGGATGCTCATCTATTTTGGTTTCAGTCATTGTCCAGATATATGTCCTGATGAATTAGAAAAAATGGCATTAGTTGTAGATAATCTTGGTAAGTATATAATAAAATTAAACATTATTTTAATGATAACTTTGTCATATCAGCTTTTGCAATTTTTTAGAAAAAGAAGAAATGAATACAGGTATTCAAGGTATTTTTATCACTGTAGATCCAGATAGAGATACTCCTCAAATAGTAGATAAATATATTAAGGAATTTTCTCCAAAATTCATTGGTTTAAGTGGTACACCAGATCAAATTCAGCAAGTTTGTAAAAGATATAGAGTTTATTATAGCCCTGGAAAAAAAGACGTTGATAATGATTATATTGTGAGTTTGTGACTACATATTTAATTATTATACTTTTAGAATTATAGCTATATATTTATTTTTTTTATTCATAATTTTAGGTGGATCATACAATCATTATGTATTTGGTTAATCCAGAGGGTGAATTTATAGATTATTTTGGACAAAATAAAACTGCCACTGAAATAGTAGAACATATTTTACTACACATGTTTAAATTCAAACAAGAAAAAGGTTCATTATTGAGCAGCACTTTAGAAAAAATAAATTCATTAAATGGGAAAAAATTTGCTACGTCTTAAACTAATATTTAAATGTAATCAAACTTCTTTATATTTAGACTAAGTTCAGTTGCTGTTAATTGTTACAATAATTTTAAATTAATATATGAATTTTAATAAAAGCTTTAACTTTAATATTTTGTTTTTTCAGTACTACAGATCTACAAGCACTTGATTTTCATATATCCCATAAAGTATACGGTTTTATTTATGAGTTATGGTCAAAGAGAGTGAGAGAGTAGACAATTTTGAGTCTTATAGGCTATAACCCATAAGTAGACGTTGACCGAAAGACCATAAACGGCATAAACTATAGAGTATAGACTAAATTATTACTTATTAGTTATTAGCTAAGCTAATATATTTTGAACGGAAAAAATCTTCGTTTTTCCTCCATGACTGTCTGGAACAAAAACTAAATGTTTACATCTTATTAAGCCACGCCCCAAAGGTCATTGATTATTTTTCCATTTTAATTTTAATAATTTATTTTTACAAAAAGTTAAAAATGATGTATGGTGTATGCTATTTTTTTGTGTTATTGAAACACTAATAGAATTAACATTTAAATTTTGATATACAAGTTGACGATAATAACTGTAATCTATATATTAATTTCATTTTTTATATAATTTAAAAAAAAATAATAGTGTTGGTCTAGGTACAGTTAATGTGTGTTCGTACATTCCTATAATTAATTGAAATTTTGATTTAATTATTCTTAAAATAATCCACAGGTAAAGTATTGACAGTTATTACAATATTTCATTATTATTATCTACAATGATTTGTATTAATAGTCATTAATGACGTTTCGCGCTAAGCCGCATCAATTGCCAGTACCTCGTCTTAAGGTTTAGTGGACATTTTGGTGATACCTACAATTGCCCAACGCCGGTCGTTCAATATATTTTTACAAATATATTTTAGATTTTACGAACTGCTAACATCGCATACACATTACCTGACCATTAAATTTTCTATTGGCTATGCGCGTAATTTGCGCCGATAAATTAAGTATTCACGCAGCGAGTATATATTATACCTTTTAACTATGTTAATAATTATTAATTTGCAATGATTTACTGAAGTTGGGTAGGTAATTGATATTAATGGTACTTGAAAAAATATGCAATGTCTAGACAAATAGTTGTTTTTTTTGCTTTCTTTTGTTGATGACATTCAAAAAAAGTTTAATAAATTTGATTATTTATTTAATATTTTACTATTTCTTGTATCATAATATGAAATATTTCAATTTAAATTTCTTCTGATATATTTATTATTTTTGTTTCCATATTTGTCTAATGATATTAATTAGACTAATTTTGTTATAATTGTCAAGACTATGAAAAGACTATTTTTCTTTAAATAATGAAATTCAATTAAATAGGTATATTTTTATATATTGTATAAAATCAAATTTTAGATTTTGAAATGCTAAGTGCATATAAAATTGTATAATAGTCTGAAATCGCAGGGATGAAGGGGAAAAAGGATCAGGAATCAGAATCAAATGACAATGTTTGTCGAGATTTCATGCGCAATGTGTGCAATAGAGGCAAATCTTGCAAATTTTTTCATCCTCCTGTTGAAGAGGATAAACGCAAATATGTATTTTGCCATGACTTTCAAAATGGCAAGTGTAGTAGACACGATTGCCGGTTCATTCATTGTTCTCGTGAGGATGAGGAGTATTATAATCGGACCGGACGCATGGCACCAGAAGTGTTGAGAACAATTGAAATGACTGGTGCGCCTCCTTCTGATGATATACCTATTTGTAAAGATTATTTAAAAGGCAATTGCCATCGTAGCCAAGCTCATTGTAAATTTCGTCATGTAGATCAACCACTTGATGTACCTGTTAGAGGTCCTAATGGTCCTTTCAATTCACCCCAGCCAGCGATGCCACCTAACTTCGGTAATGAGTTGTTCCGCAGACGCTTTGATTTTGATGAAGAGCCCGATCCCAAGCGTAGGCGCTATGAATTTGACAACAGAATGCCGCTAGGGCGCCCATTCCCCAATCGCGACATGGACTTTTCCGCGCCACCTGGGCCTGTGCATCAACAGCCATATTGGCTGTTGCAAGATGAGGTGGAAATGTTGCGCAAGCGTGTGGCTGAGTTGAAAAAGCGCAATGAGGAATTGCAAGCGACTAATGAATTCTTATTGGAGCAAAACGCACAGCTGCGCATTAATGAACAAGCGCCCCTACGCAGCACCCAGCAAATGGTGAGCGCTATACGCACTGTGACCACAGTCCCAGTCAGCTTGGCGGCGGTGGCTGCGGCCGGCACACCCGTGTCCATAGCTACCGTCTCCATGGCTCCAATTCAGATACCACCTGTTGTATCTGGGTCTGGCCCGCCGCCCCTGCCGCAGCCAACTAACTCGCAGCCTTTGGTATCTTATCCTATTGGCAGATCGACATCAGCCCAACACTATATCCAACCGTAGGTATGTTCCTACCATTAATTTTTTTTTATTCTCAAAAATCTCGATTTGCTTATATTATGTTTACATGACATTAGCATGTTTAAGCTTCCCTTATTTTATGTTTAATATTAGTTTGTATTATGTCTTCTAGTCTGAACAATTGAATAATTTACCCTTTTGGTGCAAAACTCCAGGGATTTATGTGCGCCATTTATTTAGGATCTATTTCATCTTGGCAGGGGCGTGGGCGTGGCAGTCAATAACTGCCTAGATGAAATGGACTGACTTGTGTTCAATACTATTTTTATCATTTCAATTAAAATTTTTGTATTTGGATTGTTTCAGTTTATGAACAGAGAAAATGGAAATGCTAACAAGAATTTGACATTAACAAAACAAAGAATGTACAATCTATGTTTTAATAATAGAATGTAAGAAATATTTTTTTTTTACAATTTGAGTACCACAATATTTTTGATGTTGAAAAGATAAATTTCTTTTATTTGTGAAATGTATAAATTTAATAAAAAAATTATTTATTTCATACTAGTTTAGTGTTTCATATTCATAAGCTATTTGAATTTTTATCATGAACTTCAACATTTAATTTTTGATTAATAACACTATTTGTATTGTTATTAATCTGTACAAATTAGACGTTTATAAAATGTTGATTGAGTAATACCATTGATTTTCTTATCATAATATATTGTTTATTTATGTTATGGTGAAGATCCATGAAAATAAATTATTGAGTACAAGACATTGATGTAATGTAAATAAAATATTTAGTAGAAAACAAAAATTTTATCATACTGACTTGTATATTTTATTTTTCACCTTCATTGCCTCTTAATTTATACTTATTTTGCTTAAGAAGTTTATTAATTATGTAAGTATTATAAATGTTTCTACACATTAGTAATATAATATTAAATTAATTTATACAACTTTGAACAGATATATTCTAAATCTATTACCTAATTAATTGTATATGTCACTGGACATTCTTTCCAATATTAATATTAAATATTATAATTGGCATAACAATTTTATGAGTTGTGTAAAATTTAAATTTTTATATATTTTTCTTTTTTTCACCTGCTATTTTTAAATGTAAATCATTAATTTTGTTGATATTTCATTATTCTCATATTGAAAAAAATATAATTTAAATTTGATTTATTTGTATTTTTTACTATTTATATTTAAATCCATTAAGTAAGTTATAAATGTAACTAGTCTTTTAATTTATGTTATAGTTAAATTTTATAGATTATAATATATAATATACCATTAGAATGTCTTCAGTGCATTAAAAAATAAATATGTATGTATGTATATATAGGTACATTTTAAAATGGAAATAAACATGGATGTAATTAATGTTAAGCTTTATTATTTGTATACCGCGTGTTTACGAAAACAGAGTCTACTTTATAACTCGGTACACTAAATAATTTTCAGTTCTGTTTGAGGGACATCAAATTAGACCTAACTTTTTGTAGTTGGAGGGCCAATTTACACTTTCATAAAAACACCAGTGGGCTGCCATAAAAAAAAAAAAATATTTATATTTTATTTTAATATAAAAACATTATATAGCTAATGCAAAAATTATCATATAACAGATTAATATTAACATTTAATTGTGATTGTCATTTTTTTCCAGAAGCCAACTTTCCGATATCAATTGAACACTGTGGTGGTTAATCTGATGTACAATAATTCTAAAGACGAATTTTCAATACGGATTCTTGATTTAGGCTATTAAATTCGTTGTAGAAAATACCAATTCAAAAATATACGTACCTACTTCCAAATAATGCCAAAATTTCAAACAATTAGTCGAAAAATTTATTTTTGATGTTTCTGTAAATAATTGTAATGAAAATTTTATTATTTTTTTCAATGAAAAAAAATAAATATTAATTTAAAACTTCGTTGTCTGATAGTAAAAATCATGTTTATAAGTAATTTTATTATTTCATCAATAGTGTAATAATAAATTAAAATACTATTAATACAATACAGTGAACTCGCGATATAACGAATTTCAAGGGACCGAGCAGAAAATTTGTTACTTCGAAATTTATTAAATCCAAAGCATTTAATATCAACAAAATTCGTTTTAATATACTTTTTGAATTTAGATTTTACTTGATTATTATAATAACATACATATTAAATATAATCATTTTATTAAATACATATATACTTACATGAGTAATTATTTATTAATTAATATAAACTTTATGTTTACTATGTACATAAATATTTATTTATTCTTTGTCTAGTCACTCGCGCTTACCTAGTTAATAGTGTTGTTCAAGTTCAAGTATAAAATGTTACAAACACTTAAACACACTATTTTCGATATCATGTCTGTAAATATTTCGAGAAGATTGCGAAGACCTGATTTTGTTTCTTTCGAGGATACGGAGAGCTCATCAGAATACCTATTCTTATTCATTATCAACTTAGTTTAAAATTTCATCGTCATTATCAGAACTTTCAGAACCACAATTAGTCAACTCGTCGTCGATAGCAAGTAGCAACTAGCAACAAATGTTTCGTAATAGTCATTATTCACCAGCAGACATTTAATAACGACATGAATTTTATCCTATTGTATGATAATAATCGAAACAAACTTGTAAAATTCATTACATTGCAACAGAGCTTTGGGCGCTTTGTCCAAAAAATCTCCGTTAGATCGAGGGGGACAAAAATACATTTAATTTATCGTTACAACACGAGATTCCAAGGGAACGACAGTTGTATACGTTAGGTATATAGCGAGTTGAGTGTAAATCATAAATTTTAAGTAATTTAAAATTACTTAAGTTATAATAATCATTAAGTTAAAAAGAAAAAAATTACTCAAAAATTATTATTTAAGAATGTTTTATTTCTATCGTACCTTTCATTTTGCAAATTTTGATTTTAAAATACAAGGTGATACAACTGATACATCATAATAATGGCTTCAAAAAGTTCAAAAACATCGATCAATCCGAAAACGGTACTTAAAGTAAGGATTTTAATTTAAGAAAATAAAGTTGTATTGCGCATGCGCTAAGCATTGATATAAGCGTTTAAAGAATTGTTTTTACTGTTTTCGTTGTGTTTGTTGTCCATTTGAACTATTCAAAGATAAAGTTTAGTTGTAAACTTGTGAATATACAATATTTAATATTATAATAATATATTATAAACACCTCAAAATTAAAATTGAATTAATGAAATATAGGTACAATAGGTAATATAAATAATACATTTATTAGATACCTATGGAAAGATAATGGTGAGATTTAACATCCAAAAACCCCCCTGGCGACGTCACTGAGTGTACTGAGTCATAAAGTGGACCCTACTTCACAATGTAATAAACTATATACTATTTATTTCTTCAATTGATTTAGTACAATTTTTATTTTTATTAAAAGATTTGACGATATTAAAATTTAAAAGTGCTCTATATTCTATGTATTTCATAGAAAGTAATAATCTAGTTTTTATGCATGTTACAATGTTAATATTTGAAATATGTACAATGTTACCTGACACATTTATCTATTGAATTGTTGCATTTTCTACAAATCTAAATAGGTAATGTTCTAGCTACAATGAAAGTTCAATTCTCTGACTACTCTAAAACAACTAATTGTAGTGGCGAATACAACTGTTCTTGGTCCATAAGAAATGCTGAGAATTAAATATCTTGGAATCTTTCAGCATCTATAAATATCACAGACACAAGCACTTTAAGGCATCTAGTGAGGTATGGCATAGATCGCAAGGGCATGCACAGTGAATATTTAAATCCAACCCAGTCACAAATAATGGCCAGAACAGATATAATAAAAAAATAAATAAGTTAACTTTCAGGTTTTTTTATTTCTTAAGATTTTGTTTGCAAAAAGAAAACTTTCTTTGGAAATTAAAAAAATTAAAAGATAACCATGTGTATTTCCTTAGTGTTACATGCACACAAGTATAAAACACAGCAAATTTGTATTCAGCAGTCTATTTAATGTTGTTAGCTTTACTTTTAGGGTAATATCTATCAAAATTAAAGATAAAAATTTAGAATATTATATAGATTCTAGGACATCTCATAGATTTATTAATTTAATAATTTGAAAGTGAGTTATGATCATTTTAAAGTTTTAATATTTTTATATAGCTAAAAAACACTAAAATTATTAAGTTGATAAAAGACTATGAGATTACCAAGATAATATTTTTACCTTAAATTTCAATAATAGATATTATTCAAATATTAAAGCTAATAACATGAAATCAATTTTGCTGAATGCAAATTCAATATGTAGTATGTATGTAAAACAGAAACAACATGTATGAGTATATTGTCCTCTAAATAATAACATAATATTGCTACTAAGGTTATTCATCATGGTATACGGGTTTAGAGCTATTTTTTTTTCAATGTTTTATTAGTTTTTTTTTTTTAGTCAGTCAACACTAAGACATTAAAAGGAAAACACTAATAGTTTAATGTTAACAACTCAAAACAATATGATTATTATAACACATTACATTCTATTTTATATTAATCATACATTACTATAATAAATATATGAGATTGTATTAAAAAAAAAAAAAATCTTTACATAAAATTATTATTTATTATTTTCTACCTAATATGAATAAATATCATAGTCTAAATGTATTCTTGATCATACTGACGTATTGTTAACATAACATTATTTAGAAATTTTTTGCTTGCATTAGAAACTTACAAACACTTACAAAAACATTACTTATATAATGAATGTTTTAAAGTATAAATTGGTACATCAGTTAACTATTAAATAAATATACATGTATAATAATCAGTTTCCTACAAATTATTATAATATAATGACATCATAATTTTAAAAGTTACCAACTATTTAGGAAGTAAACAATATACAACAAAAATTGAAAACAGAATTACATTAAGTCAACATTAAATAATTAAATTAAACATTAAAAAAAGAAACAATATTATTTAAAATTGAATAATCAAATTTAATTATTATTTTTCTTTATTCAATGCTTGAATGAAATCTTCTAGTTTTTCTTGAATTTGTTTAACTTTATCTAATGTAAAAAAGCTCATAAAAATACATATTCTTGATTTTAAAATAGCTTAAAAAATACTCACTAAGTTCTTCAACTAGAGTTACTCGACGACCAGTTAACAGTTTGCATTTGATTTCATTATTCTGACTATACTCGTCCAAAACTTCTTTTAATTCTTTATGTAGGCGTCTCACTAGTTAACATAAAAAATTAAATTAATGTGATTAATTTAAGTTTTTTATATTAAGAAAAGTGTAACTTTAAATAAATATACATTCTCTGTTGGTAATTTGTTGTCTTAAGACGTTGGCTGTTACTTTGATCATACGTGTTATTCTCCAAAACA